CACAAGCCTCTTAAAAAACTGTATCTCCATGGTTCTACATTTAAAAAAAGATAAAGTGTTCAGTAACACAATACTGTGTAAGAAACAATACACATCTTGAGAACATCAATACCTGCTCATAATTTAGAGGAGAAACAATGTGGAAATCAAGGTACAAGCCTTTAATGTCTCAAAGGGTAATGCTAAATAATCAGAACATCATTGAATTAATCTAATAGGCATGTTACTTACACTGGGTACATGGAGCAAAGGAAGATACAAACAACCACAATCAGAAGCATGTTAATTTAAAATTTACATTGTAAGTTTCATACCTCATCACCAAAAAGAGAGGAGACAGCCAACTACCCTGATATACAGCTGTCTTCCGGCTCCCACCACTGAACCCCTGTCAGCAACATATGCTAACATTTAAAGTGAACAAAATAGCTACCAAGTGTCACTGGGGAAAGCTTAATGTGCAAAAACAGCACAGTTTGAATTCACCTTTCCTATTGTGGAGTTACTGTCGCTGCTTCAGTTCAAACCTAGCCTGCTAGTAATACCTAGGCCAAACCTGAGGAGGATCAGCTGTATGGATACAGTGGTAGAGTTACAGGGGCAAAATGGTTTGTCCTACCTGAATGTTGTCCTGACATCATTTTGGCATTTTGATGCTGTCTTTAACTGCATGGTCGTAATCCACTAACATACAGATTAAAAATAAGGAAACCATGCTTAAGTGTGTCCTTTAGGTCACAAAGTGATAAACTCAGATGTTGGAAAATGGCAGATACATAGTTCTCTGCTTCTTCATAATTCTGTGCCTTTTTGCAGTCAGCATTGATCAGAGACACCGTGCTTCATGAATGTGGGCATATGAGGTAGAATTAAGGTTGCACAAGCCATCTGTTCTAACTTTCAAGCCTTGTCTCTTCAGTTTAAATTCCTTTCTTTTAAAATAGATACTGAAATTTATTTGGGAGGGTGGTATATGATTTATATGCATTTGGATTTTATGGGAGAAAATAAGCACCTCCTGCAGCACTTCAAACAAAGGTTGTTCCTTTACGGCGCAGAACACAAGACTATGGCTGTCACTTTGTTTACTAGAGTAACTACACCAGTTTGGTGCAAGGGACAGCTACTATCCCAGTGAAAGGAAGGAATATTCAGTACAACCTCTTCCCTAAGAAGAACCTGGAAGAACTCATGCTTTGTGGGAGAAAAGCTGTTTCTCTTCTCATAAACTGCTAGCATCTCTTAGCCATTGCAGCACTTTGCAAGAAGGTACTACTGTTGTGGCAGGATAAGCCCAGTTTTCAAACATCTCTGCTGAATTAGTATACTTGACACAGAAAAAGATTCGAAAACAGACAGATTTTCTTCTTAAAAAATATATATATGTACTGGTTTAATTAAATCTTAAAAAAAAAAAAAAGGCGGATTGTTTTAATCTCACCAAAGATGGTATTTCAGAGATAAACCCTTGTTTCCATACTGTTGGGCATTGATACAGACAATAGGAAGAGGCATTAGCACTTCTCAAAACAAACAGAAAATAGTATGGAAATCTTGTATTGGGGGAATCTGCATAGCAAAAAGGTTACTATTAGCAATGTGAGTGTGTATTAAGTATTTTCTGGATATGTAGCATACTTCTTTCTGCCAGTATAGATGCTCCAGATCTGAGTTCAGTGGTACATGTTCACCAAAAGAACTGTTCTCACTTGAGCAAACAGCTAGATATTAGCATCTAAGAGGGAAGTTGTTGGCTGACTAACTTACTACATAAAGCCAGAATTTGGGTGTTTGGGGTTTTTTTAATTTGTTGGGTTTTGGGGGAGGTTCTTGGTTTTGTTTGTTTGTTTTTAATTATGTAATATCATTTAATTTTTGTTGTTTTCTCCCCCAAAATAAGTACTTCCTAAGCCAGAAAAGAAAGGCAATATCTTGACAGTTCTGCATGTTTCCAGACAGTAGCTCAGTATGAGTGGAGAGCAGACACATTTTGGAAGTGAAAAGATATGAAATTTAAAGATACTGTGATTAGGACAAGGTTAGATTCTAGTTAAACTAAACTAAAACGCATTAACTTGCATCTGTTCGAAAGGAAAAAAGTTAGAATTAAGTTGAGGTTAACAAATGCTGACCTGACTGACCTTGGCTCTTTCTTCATAGTCTATGTAATATTTCCTCCCTACAGATTATGAATTAATCTGCAGTGTTTTTTTGCCTTGTTTTGATGAAAGTGTCTCTGATAATTACTAGAAGCTCATCAAGCAATGCAAGCTAGTGAGAATTTAAATTTTATATTACATAAGCAGGAAACAGGGAGAGATTTTTCAGATGGATATTTTCTCTTTGAGGACCTCTAGTGAAGTATCTCTAAGAAAAATACCCTCCCTGTAAACTTCCCAGAAGGCAGCAGTAGTGCAGAGCCTGTCAGGATGGAGCTGTAGAGTTAATGTACGATTACAGTAGCCATTTAGTCCCATCTCCTGCTCAAAGCAGGGCTCATCTCAAAGCAAACAACAAAACGGAAAAAGTAAATGAGCTCTTCAGTGTCTTTCACCAGCGCAAAACTATTTTTGTTTAAAAACTGCCTATAATTAAAACTGCAAAAGCTACAGAATAGAAAAATGCTAAGAGACAGCATTTTCAGTATAATAAATCAATGTCAATGGAATTTGATACGTGTATGGAAACTGGATTCAGTACTGCCATATGTTTTATTACAAGTTCTTTGGGTTCTGAGGTTCTGAAAATGTAAAAAAATATATATGAAAGAGGATATTACTTTAAATAATAGGTATTCCTGCTTATACTATTATATCTTCTACTGAAGAATTAGTGAGTTATATGCCATCCACACCTTATGAAACAGAGATGATGACTTTTTTGGCTGTTTGGAAAAGGCGTACCTTTATGATGGTAGACACTGTCACTAATAAGAATGCTAATGTATACCACAGCAAAAACATATACCATTGTACTAACATATAGATAGTAAATGACAAAGCAAGGTTTACCATAGAGTTAAGTGTTTAGCTGTAATGTACATGCAGACACGGCTGCTTCTGCACAGCTTTTTCACAAAGTTTTGCACTGAGTCCAGTACAAAAGCAAACCTTACTACTCTGGCACGTGTGCTTCAAAACGAAGTTCCTAAGTAACAGCCCTACTTTCTGAACATGCTTGAAAGGAATAGAAACTGGACCCATACCTTTCAGCATTCTTACCCTGTCTGCTAATTTAATGATTCCCTAAGCAAATGCATCCGCATGTACGTGTGGATTCAGAATCACATATCATTGCATGCACTGAGGAAGTACATGTGCAAATCAACAGTGTAATTTTCCAATTCTTTGTAATAATTACCTATTGCTGACATGTAAAATGCCTACAGGTAAAATACCAGTGGAAAGTAAGAAAATTTTTTGGTCTATATAATTAACTAACGTGTAGGACATTTCGTAGCTACCACATGGTGTTGATAGAGGGCATTTTCAATACTTTATCTTAGAAATTTTTATAACTATTTATTAAAATTTAGCCAGCCACAAAATGCAGATGTCAGTGGCTTATCCTGATTCCTGACATTGTCAGGTGGATAAATATTTTTTTTTCTAAAATTGTAAAAATTTGGGAAAGTATTTTTTTTAATTTGTATAAAGATGCCATTAAACTCTATAAAAGTATAAAAAGGTTTCTTTTTCAGTGGGTTGGTTTTTTTGTTTCCACTGGGAGGTCTGGCTGGATCTTTCCATCTGGTGTGCTGGCTGTTACTGCAGATGGTCATAATCTGTACATATGGTATGTGCATATATAAACTGAAATCAGTGTAGTCTTGGGGTAAAAGCAGCCACACAAGAGGAACTTGGATAGCACAAGAATATTTGTGAGAGGGATAATTTACAGCATTTTATTTTTCTAGGGGAAATTTACAAAAATTAGGGAAAAATCATTTACGCTTTGCTGGAAAAAAATAAATAAATCACACTACTGTTAAAAGGTAAATTCTGGATCTGCAGTTTATTTGAAATCGAGCATTAGCTTCAGCTCAGCCCTGAATCTGTGCCAGGTTTGGGGTTAAATCAAGACAACACGAAACTTTCACAAACTTTAAAGATATACCTGCAGTGCTCAGCAGTAGGACAGGCAGCCTGGGTTTCGAGACCCTACTTCTAACTTGGAAACAAAGCTGGAAGAGAGATTTTCTTATTTCTGAAGATCAGAAAATGGCCTTCCAATCATGTAAAAAAAAATAGAAAAATAAATAAGAGAAGCCTTCCGAAATTAAATCGTCTTTAAATCTGAAGTTTCTGTTGAAGTCAATCTATCATCAAATGGTAGCTGAAACTCGTAATGATCAAAGAAGGGGCAAAAGACCTTGTCATTAAAAATAGTAACTTGCCATGAATCACAGGTAAACTTGTAAGATGTTCTGCTACCTATTGTAGTGTGCAGTTAGCACAGCTAAAAACTTCTGCTTGCAATTTGGCTAGCTAACCACATTAAAAAAGTTATATGCATAAAATCTTAAACTTGTACTTAGAAAGTTTAGAAAATTAGGGAAAATACATGATGATGTAGGGAGAACTCTAAAAGCAACTCACAATTGGACTTACCAAATATTTACCAAGTGCCTGAAAATCAGAAATGATTGGAAAAGCAAGACACAAAGAATTTATCTGATACACAACCAAATGCATTTTTAACACTTCGTCTATCTTTTCTAATATCCTCTTTATTACAGCTAGTTGGTACATTTGCCCATTTATCAGACAAGCTAACTGCCAGAGCAGGTAATGTCATGAATTTTATTGTTCCTTTTTTCTGCTTTCCTAGTATCTACTCCGCCATTCTCTTTGCTAACCTTTCAATCTTTTTTGTGCTGGAAGAAGGCTTCATGTATTCAGCTACAAGGCTAGAAAAGGAAAATACATTGACTTTAAAAGGGTTGCTGCCATTCTAATATGACTTTAAAAGCTACTGATTCTCTTTCTCTCTTATTACAGGTTTGTTTTGTGAATTTAGATGCAAACACAGATGATTGCAGCAATGAGCAAGTGAAACAGGTAACAGATTTTAATAACATGCACAGTGTGTCTAGTCAGGATCTCCAGGACTCTCCAATACAAACCCAGATCAAATTTCTATGGACAAATCGAAGCCAGCCCTAGATTTTTAGCCCTTACAGAGAGCAATGCATCAGAAGTCTGAAATTGTCTCAATGCCAGGCCATATTTTTTAGCTTTTCTTACTTTATCCCAGAAATATCTAATGGATTGTTGCAGCCTGTGAATTTACAGCTGTTATCGTGTGAGTGGACTGCTTGCTTAGCCTTGATTTTATCAGATAAGGTATCAGAGAAGAGCATGGATATGTCATGCATCCAATTTTTCAATTTGACATAACACTATATAAAAATAATTTCTGATGTTGCTCTTTCTTACTGCCAAAAAACCTTTGAGAAACTTCTAGTCATTTAGGTCATGTTCAGCTTATCAGTCTTATTCAGTCCAGCTTCAAATAGTTTGATTATGTGACCTTGAGGAGAGTTCTAGGTAAAACAGAATTAACTAAAGGTGTGTTTTACCCATTTAACTGAAAGTTTGGAGGGTAAAAAAAAAGGAATAAAAAAAAAATAAAAGCTCTGTTATTTTATAAGCATTAAGACAAAGTACATCATGGTATGCTATTTAAAATATATGCCATTAAAAAAAGAAAATTCTAAGGAAGTCACATTTTAAAGATATGATGGCCTGGTCTCAGTTTTGAGTTTACATCATCCTTCACCAAATCATTTTTCATTTGGTGTCTATGATCAATACAGCGATATGATTGCAGTATGTGGTAAGAGAACAAAGGTAGGCTCTCCTCACAATATCCAGATTCCTCCTCAGTAAAGCATTACAGTTAGTTTGCTGATACCACTTTTAACTCACAGGGGAACAACCAATGCTGGGACCTTGTCACCTCCTGCAAGTCATTCATTAACAGCAACTGTTTTTCTATGCAGTTTTTTGAATCCTAGATTTATAAAAATTCAGATGGCAAAAATAAATACAGCTTCTTCCAGCAAAATTATTTTTCTGTTGAATCAGCAGGTTAACTGTGCAGAACAGCTTGAGAGATATAACTGTACTAAATCCACAGAAGCACTGGCTGTTTTCTAATAAGCAATGGTTTTATTGGTTTTTTTTTATAGTGTTTGTTAAGGAACAAAAGGTATAGCAAGGGATAAGAAAACACCAGGAGTTTCTCCCTGAGTCTTAGAGCTGGATATCTGCAAAAGCCAACTTAAACTAGCTTTATGCAGCTAGCCTTTACAATGCCTGGAGATTAAATTACTCCCTCACAAGTAAAAATCACCTGCAGCTGCATAATTTTTACTTATCAGCCCTACAGCAGTGGTCCACTCACTGCCTGTGCACTCCACACAGCCCTAAGCTTTTCCTTGACAGCAGAGCCCAGCTGGGTCCCTGCAGTGCTGCACACCAGCATGTCTACAGCTGCTGCTCCCCACCTGGTACATGCAGGGTGCGTAGTGTAGGTAATAAAAATTCACTGCTAGCACAGGTACTGTGTATTCTTCTCTAAGAAGAAACTTAATCATCACAGTTTTTGTGTATAATACGCAGTTTGTGTAAGTTCCTTTTGGGTAGAATTGATTTTTATACAACACACTGATGTGGTGAAAGCATTTCATAGAGTTTTAAAGATTTTAGCATAGCTGTTGTTCTTATGAAATATAACTCTTTCCTAATGGGTACTGTTAGGATTTTGTATTACCCATTGCAGTCAGTTAAAACTGGGGGGTTTTGCTATAATCACCCTTCCAGACTTTGCCTTTTTTTATTCTGAACAAAAGTTATGGAACTGAAGTAAGAGATAAACAAACTGCTAGGATTTCCTACATAAGAAATGCAATTTAGGCAGTAGAAAAATAGACATGTATACGACTGTGTATGATGGAGGAAAGGCTATCATTTGAAAAAAAAAAATTATGAGAACTTCTTTGTACTATACTGAAACATCAGTGAATTGAAGCACTGAATTTAGTCATGTCAAATACAAGTACTTAGTCTCATCTGAAGATCACTCTACCGAAAAGTGAATTGTTCCCCAAAACTGAATTAGCTTTGCTAAGCCAGAAATTTTTATTATATCGAATTCACTCTGAGGAAAAATATCAGTACTGCTTATTATTTTTAGCTTATTATTTTGAAGATGAAAAGTAAAAAGTGGGATATCATTGAACTGCACAGTAACTAAAGCATATGGCTGGGTGCCAGAGATCTGTATTCCCCTGAGTGGCTTTGCCATTTTATGCACTTTTCTAGTGCATAAAATGGATATGGCATTTACTTCTCCATAAGGCATCATCCTTGATTCCTTGTTCATAAAGCAAGCACAGCTAGATCCTTGGCAGCAAGAATTGCAAGTACTCTTAGGGTAGGTATTGTACTTTTGGTCTGGTCTTTGACATGAATGGTACATGAATGAGCAGATGTCTCCTACACACACTCGGGACTCCCAGCAGTATCATAATATGAATCTCCTGTTACACAGCATCGTTGGTGTTGTGACTATTACCACTTCTGGCTCTAACAAATACACAAGAGGTAGAAAATTACTGTATCATTACAAATGAAAGGTCATGAAGGTATCAACTGGAACAGCAAAAAAAATGAGTATTTCATCTCTGTATTAAATACCTCAATTATTCCAGGTCTAATATTGCACCAGTTTGATCAGCATTTCCAGCTAACTTTCCCTTTGGTTTCTTGCTTGTTATACTCTTGGAGGAAAACTGGAAGATCTGCCCTTTTCTCATTACCATGCTTACTAAATCTTTTCTGGTTTAAACAGTAACAGGCAGCATATTCTCAGTCTCTTAGGAACTCACTTGTAATAGAAAGACCAAGCATTTAGATGCATAAATACAATCAAGCTGTTTAGCACATGACAGTGTAAGGGATGAAAGACTGACCTGCTGGACGGTTGTGCAGAAGTTTATACTATCACTATTGTCTTGCCTGGTAGCTCAAAAGAAATAATGTGCATTTTAATGCTGCCAGTTCCATTTTTAATCAACTCAAAGAAATAAGTTCCACCAAGCTTTCTAAAGAGATGCCTGTAACTGGTATTTCATTTTGATATTTATGAATAGAGCTGTGCAACTCAGATTTCATTACCTGAAAGAAAATTTATCTTTCACACTACAGCGGTTGATCAGCGTCTCTCCAAATCTCCCCAAACTCATCAGTTCAATGAATGTACAGCCACCAAAGGAAAATGAAATAGTCCTGCTGAGTGGGTTAACATCAGGAAACCTTCAGGCCGATTATGAAGTTCCCCAGGTAGGAATCAAACTCATCTTTAAGATTGTATCACACCTGTGAAGGATGGATTTGGAAAATGGAAAGAGGAAACTGAAAGCAAAGACTTTGCAGCAGTTTAAGAGACAAGTGTGAGTTTTCAAACATGAAAATGTAAATCTAAAAAATCTTAAGTGTGTGTGTCAGGGCAGTGGATGGTGGGGGTGTGTATGATACAAATATAGGAAAGAAACCCTGCTATTGCCTTCTAGATCCTTTGGATGTCTGGGTTGCAGCTGATAATGCTTTAAGCTATTAGTGGTTGATCCTTCAGTGAATGATTCACAAGTGAATGCAGGCACTGGTGGCAGAAGCCCACATTTCAAGAGTAGCAAGAGTCAGGAGGACAGCACAGAACAGGGAAAAGAAAGATATAACACTTTTTCTGTGCACATAACCAGATTGAGGCACAGCTCCTACAGTCTCCCTTTCAAGTGAAGTCTTGCTACTTCCCACTTTTGTTCCCAATCCATCTTCTCCCACACAGGCACCTCAGAAAATAGCTGACGGTAGGACTTGAAAATCCTACTGGCTACTGTAAACCTGAATGTGACAGTGGAAAATACCAAGCTAATTTAACCATGTCAGAGCTAATACCTCATTTAGATTCTGTCAACTTAAAAAGTAATTAACACATTAATTAAAGCTTAACATTTAAAGGAGCTAAAGGCAAAATTCTCATGCTAACTCTTTCACTCCTGTTATTGCCAATTAAATGTTCCCTATCTGTGATCTGGAGGCTGAGTATTCCTCTTACTGGCACCACATAGAGAAAGGAAGGAAACATAGCATTTGCTGTAGAAAAAGAAAATAAAAGGCAGTGAAATTAACTTGTGTACAAAAGTTCATGAAGCAGGTCCTGAAACAGCTGTAGGCAAACATCATTGCATTTTATGTTATACCAGGAAGCTGATCTTTAAAAGGAGAGGCTGCTCGTTCATTGAGCTTTCTTGCCCCTTGTGACTATTGGCTGAATTTAGAATGACTAAAAAGAAGTGCACAAGCCTGTAGTAGGAGCAGTGGAGCTCCAAACCCCACTTTCCCTAGAGGGGAGCCACTGCAGTACACACAAGGGTGTTTTGAGGCCCGAACAAGATGACTGAAGTTCTCAAGTCACCCCCACTTCCAAAAGACTGCAGCCATTGAGACTGGCAGCCTTCCCAGAGAGACTGCAGGCAAGACACAGATGGGAACTAACGGACATTTTGATCCTGTAAGATGAAGAAAGCTTTGCATTGAGACTGGGTGAGATTTATTGGTCAGATAAGTAGATGCTATGTTCGTCCTTACATCTGTTTGGCTTTCCAGAGAATTTTGTTTGTAAAGAGACTCGCATAGTTTTCATACAATAATTATTCTGCTCCCCATCAGCCCTTTTCACAAGCAGAACCCTGCAAACTGTGGACTGGAGCAACAGCACGGGAACATTTGATCTAAGGCTGCATCTGCTTTTAATAACATTTTTCACAATATGGTGTATGCTGACATCTGATTCAGGAACAATTTCTTAGCTATCTAATTTGTCTTTTCTGTTTTAACACACTAATTTATCTGGTTTTCTGTTCAGACACATTTTTTAGATGACAAGAAAGTGCAGGTTAACAAAACTTGTTATTCCAACACAATACTCATCCCACTCCCTTTATTACTGATACATGCTTTGCATTCATTTTCAAAGACAAAAGGTCTAGGATGCGGTCACATTATGCTAGATATTGTGCAAATGCACAGGGGGTCTAGGACGTCTTTTGCACAGCTTAAAATCTACTGCCTCAATCCAGAGTTGGTTTGGATTCAGGCTCCTTCCTGGGGGCCTGCAGCTAAAGCATAAAATCACAAGCTGCAAAAGCTTGGCTTTGCTTCAGAGTACATCCATACCACAAACATAGCCCCATGCAGAGGTATCAGCTTAGCTCTGTGGTTGTATAAATATCCAACATCTTTTAAATTAGTAAAATGAGAATAACAAGAGTTCCTTTCTCTTAGTTTTTTGTTCAACTTTCAATTTAATTGTACAGCATCTCTGGGTAAGACAGTTTTATTTAAAGTGCCCAGTGAAGTCCCATTTCCAGTGGCAGGTTTTACCAATCTAAAAATAACAGAGCTTTGGGCAAATAAGGAGAGGAAGAAGAGCAAATAAACAAAATAAAACACCACTTGAAAACAGTCTGTAGGAACATCTAAAGGTGAGTTGCTCTTAACAATCTCACCAGCCAGTACTTACCAGGGTGCCTTTAAACAAGTGTTGCTACAGAAATTATCCTGAAAAGGAATTCATGCCCACAAATGATTCCCTCAAGGGATAGGTAATACCAGGTGGTATGAGGACATTAATAACAGTATGTCAGGTGGATAAATCTGACATGACTAAAAGCAAGTAAGTCTGTCATTAAAACACAAAGCTGACTGAAAACAAACAATTTGGTAATTTCAACAAAATAAAGATGCCCCGTGATACAGCTGGGTTCTCTAATAAAATGCTTGTATAACAAAAGCTATCAGGTCCAAGCAGTCTTATTTTGGCATATATGTAACTGCACACTGTGTTATAAACACCTACATGACAAATTGCATTGCATCTTTGCAACAGAACATTACCAAGATATTTACAGAGAGGGAAGCTTAAAATAAGTTTTATTTTATAATTAAATAACTATTTGAAATTCTTTTCCTCTCCAGTGTCCTTGGTTGGCAGATGTCTGCTTGGTTCAGTGTGCACGGGGGGACAGGAGAAACAGCACGAGCTGCATCATTTTTGAAATAAACAAGTTTCTGATTGGACTTGAGCTTGTTCAGGAGAAACAGCTGCAAGTAGAAGCTCATGTCCTAAAGCCTGAGGATGACACAAACTGCTCCGTGTCCTCAATCGAAGAAGATTTCCTCACAGCATCTGAGCACCTAGAGGATGACAATGAGGCTGATGAATGTAAAACAGGTAAAAGCAATGTGACCGAGCATAAATCTGCTATTGTTTGTACTCCAAAACAGCCATGACAAAGCTCACATAAATTGTACTTCATGTTAATTCATGCATATATTTGTTTGTAATTTAGAAAATGAATGGCCATTCATATTTTTAAATTGTTATTCAAAGACAAAGATAAATGTTTCTGCAGTAGTTTTAGAGAGCAGTAATGCATTGCACGGTTGTGCAGCCATTTTCATTTTAAAGTTATGGGGTACTTTGCAAAAACCAACTTCTTGTTTTCCTTTTAATAGGTCATGAAAAGTTAAGTTCTTCAGAAGCATCCTCAGATGTCAAAAAAAGTAAAGGAAAGGGATTTGAAAATAGCCACTACAGAAAAACCAGATTGCCATCTATTCTTGAAGGGAACTGCACTAATGAAGATAAAGCAGCTACTGGAGTCTCTGAAGCTGTGACTGTTGTGCCTGAAGATGCAGTCTTACAACCTGAAGATAAGGCAGACCAGGAAACACTGTGGCAGAAGGAATTAGCTGGAAGAGCTACTTCATCCTTTAGTACTAATAATTTGACCAGTGAGGTTGAAAATTCCAGTTCAGCAAAGGTGTTGGAAGATGTATCTTTAACCAAAATGGTTAAAGAGGAGCTAGGGTCTCTTCATGACTTAACAGGAAAACACACCAGTAAGACAGATGGAGACGATTGCGCAGGTATCAGGAAAACCGATCCTCTCCCACAAGATGAGCGGGCAACTACAGGTCAGTATGCCACAAATTTAGCAGAATCTGTTCTGCAAGATGCATTCATTAGACTGTCACAGTCTCAACCCGCTTTTAGTGAGGAGGCTGCCGTCAGCATCTCTGTAGGAACCTCCTGTAAGTTGGAAGACGCACCTGCCTCCCGATCATGGAATGAACTTCCAAAGATTGTCATAGTGCAAAGTCCAGACAGTTCTGAGAATATGTCTGACTGGCCAGGGTCTGCCTTCCCCAGCCTGCGTCACGGGACTGAATCAGAAAGTTCTGCTGAAGTTTCAGATTACTTTGAGGAAGGACATTCAAACGGACACAGCCAGAGTGCACTGGAAGTGGCTCTGGCTTGTGCAGCCACTGTTATTGGAACCATTTCTAGTCCCCAGGCTGCAGAAAAATTCAGACGGGATCAAGAAGCCACACAGCCTAACAGTGGAGCAGTTGATAATGAAGAACACACAGCACCTTCACAGCTACTTGACTATGCTGGCACAGAATATTCATTTCCATCTGCACTGTGTGGCATGACTCAGGTAGCAAGTGCTGTAGCTGTTTGTGGTCTGGGGGAAACAAAGGAACAGAAGTACCCTGCTACTTCGAGCGGACTTCTGTCTGCTGCTCAGACTTCTGCAGCCATTACTCTACATTGCAGCATAGCTTTAGGAAGCAGCATGGAGAAACTAAATTATAGCATTGCAGAGGCACTTCTCAAAGAGGCATCAATAATTTTGACAAAACCCAACATATACAAAAATGTAGGGCATTTTATGGAATCCATAAATGGAAAAATTATTGAAACAGCAGCAAGACCACAGATTCCACACACTAATGAAGTAATCAGGGATGAACTTGCACAAAACTTATCCAATATTATTCTACGACATTCTATGGAGGAGGCTAGGAAAAGGAGGCAGCTACACCCCTGTTCAGAAAACTGCTCAAGTACACAAGACATGTTCATGGAGACTGCAAATGAGTTGCTTTTTAACATAGTATATTTCACTTTCAAGAAGATGAACGACATAAGACAAGTTGAAGAGTGTTCTCCCCTCTTTTCCAGGGGGACAGAGAAAGTAACAAGAGCAGAAGGATGGTCAACACGGGCAACAGAATACGAAACTTCACCTAGCCCCCTTGATAGCTCTGCTGTTAAAACATTTGGTACATCCCACAGCACTAGTTCTAGCAAAGATCTTGTAAATGTCACAAATACTAGGAAAAGTAATATGAAAGACGTAAATAGCAAGGAAACTGCTCCACTAGATTCAGAACCAACAAGTAGAGCTACAGGGCATAATGCACTTGTTGCAAAAACATCTCCCAAGAAAAAATACCTGAAAAGAACCACACGAGACTGTTACAAATCCCCAAATCAGAGTAATAATAATCATCATAAGAAAGACTACAGATCATTTTCAGATAGAGAAAATACCTTTGCAAACAATGAATGCAAGCATGGTGTTCAAGAACAGCTGTCTTCTGGTACTGCCATAAATGTGCAAAACCAGGCCAAGCATAAGTCTAATGCTGTGCTAAATAATGATGTCCAGGTTAGCTTGTCTTTATTAGGAAATCATGTCTTGCTTCCTTCACAGCCTGTGCTACAGGTGAAACATTCAAGGGACAAATATTGCATCACGGATTTTGCAGAAGAATTGGCAGAAACAGTTGTCTCTATGGCAACAGAAATAGCTGCCATTTGTCTTGAAAATTCAAATGGAAAGCAACCTTGGTTCTGTGCGTGGAAGAGAGGTAACGAATATCTGGTGACCCAGAGTTTATCTTGCAGAACCATGAAAAGGAAAAAGGAAACCCATGGTAATGGTTCAGTTGTTCGGAAGAACAGGGCACCTAGACTTAGTGAGATCAAAAGAAAAACAGATGAGCATCCTGAGCTAAAGGAAAGATTGATGAATAGGGTAGTAGATGAATCTATAAGCCTTGAGGACACACCAGACTCAGTCAATATCTTTGCTAATGAAGTGGCTGCCAAGATCATGAACCTCACTGAGCTCTCCATGGTTGATGGCATCTGGCAAGGTCCAAACCACCCCAGGAACAGGCTGCACTGTGAAAGATGGAGCCGAGCCAAAGCCTCAAGCTGTGAGAGCATACCTGAGGAGGACTCAGATTCCAAAGCCTCTTTCAGTACCCTAGGCCTGATGAACGCCTTTGGCCAGCCTGTCAGTCAGACAAGTTCTGTCTCAAAGCAATCTAGTTGTGAAAGCATTACAGATGAATTTTCAAGATTCATGGTGAACCAGATGGAAAGTGAAGGAAGAGGTTTTGATTTATTACTAGATTACTATGCAGGAAAAAATGCAAACAACATCTTAACTTCCGCTTTGCAACAGGTAGCTAAGAAAAATGGCCATCTTAATGTGAGACCAAGTTGCCCATCCAAACAGTCCAGCACAGAAAGCATAACAGAAGAATTTTATAGGTATATGCTAAGAGAAATAGAAAAAGAAAATAAAGATAACTTATTGTCCCCTCGGAATTCAAAAGACTGGTGTGGCAATTTGCTATCACCCTCTCTACGATCACCTTTTTGCTTTAGGCAATCATCAATGCCTGACAGCAGATCATCAGGTTCTAGACTAACAGTTAGTGTCCCAGTTAAGGCAAATTCATTAGATGGATTTGCCCACCATCACCAAGATTCCTTAAGTGTACAGACAGTTAATACAGTGGCTTCCTCCGGTCTTTGCAAGTCTGACTCATGCCTGTACCAAAGATGCAAGACTGACCAGATAACAGATATGTTGATTCACGATACGTGGGCAAGTTCTATTGAATCTCTAATGCGCAAGAACAAAATCATAGCAGATGAGACAGAGGCTGCAGAGGCAGACCAGTTTCACAGTGATTCCCCACCACATGTGGAACAATATGCAAACAGACTGGCTGCAAATATTGTTGAAAGTGGTAAAAATTTAATTGTTGTCCAGCAGGATTCTTTTGATTATACAAGCCAAGAACGTGTGCTGGAAAGCAAACATCCTCAAAGCACAACTCAGACTCAATCAAATCCCCAAAGGGATGGAGTAAATTTGGATGAGAAAAAACAGCACATGAAGAACCCTGGATGCCTCCCTGCAAGTCAGCATAGGGAAGTGCCTTTAATTCAGATAGAATCTGATCAACGAGATGAGCCAGATAAAGGCTCAGAGTCCTTCATTTCAGGTAGCCCTTCTGGAAAGGAGCATCAAAGCAAAGAAAAGCCTCCAGAAGCTTTTGATGGGAAACACACAGTTTCCAGTTCCCTACTAAATAGGTAAGTGACAAAATAGTAAAATCAGCACATTGCTTTTGTGTTTGTTTTAATTTCCCAGTAAAAATAATTTTGATAGAAGAAGATAAGAGGAGAAGCACTTTCAAAGAAATTAAAGTTATGACTACAGGTTTCTCATGGCATAAAAATCACCCAATCATATATCACAGTGCCAGTTTCTGGAGCAAAGTTACATGGTACATGACAACATGCTTCCAAGATTAAAATCTAATACTTCAGAGACAAGTAAGTTTTCTCTCTACAGTTGTTTAAGTCTTACATAATTAAGACAGGAAAGATAGACAAAGTTTGAACTTCAATTTAGCACTGACAGAAGATAGCAGAATTTGACCTCTGCTGTAGTTCTGTGCTATGCTTGTTCATATAACTAATGCTTTGTATACATGGAAACAAGACTAGGTTTTTGAGACCTTGAAGTTCATCTTTGTGTTTACAGTCTGGAGATACAAGTAACAAAAATTCTTTAGTGGAAGAAATAAAATAGTAATTAAAAACACCCCTCACCTCCATTAGTTCAAGACTTCTTTGGTAGAACTTAGAGAAAATAACGAAATTTCATTTTACCGCATAGCACAAATGTAGAGGATTGCTGTGGATGCGGAGGTTAAGAGCAAGACTCTCAAGACATTGCTTGTTTTTAACTATACTTGGTCATGTGTGTTACTTTAATGGTATCTAAACTGCCAATCACTTGGATCGCTGCAGCAACCTGTTATCTCAGAGTGCTTGACATAGTGCACTAACTAGTGTTAGAAACCATTTTGCAGCTCATTTTATTCGAGGAAGTGCTCTGTTTTGGCTTTTGACAAAGCTCTGCTTGAAGTGAGAAAGGTACTTTCCTGTGTGTGGTAGCCATTAGGTGGACAATTATCATAATGTCACTGTTCTTTCATACTAACCTTTCTCTTCCTTTCACTAACCTTTCTCTTCCTTTAAATGCAAATTGCTTTTAGTAGAATACATTTAGAAATGTACATATCTGGAATCTTGACTTTTATTTTTGCACAGTTTAAGAGCCCTTTAATAGCTTCTCCTCTGCGTTTGATGAAGAGTTCCTAAAGCAACTATGGGGAGTTTGAAGCATTAGGATTGGTAGGACAGAATTAGTAACCAGAGGCTACACCTACATGAGTATTTTGGTTCAGCAATGCAGTGCAGTTCTGAATCAGCTTGACTTCATTTCCATGCATTGGCTTTCTTTGCCGCATGCAATTCAGATTTCTTATAAAGGATTCTCAACTAGAAGCTGTGCAAGTGTGCACCAGATGTTCTCATAACCCTACCAGGAAGGCAAAGCTTCCAGTGTTTCTTCACACGGATTTGAATTGCTTGTAGCATGGATGTCTGGACCAAGTCTAGACTAAAGTAAAAACCTAAAGATATATAAATAACATAGATAGAAAAGCATGAGCACCAGTTGTTTTGATCCAATCCTACCGCATGAAATTACTTGCTAGTGTAGATATAGGCACATGGGGCTCCAGGCAAAACATCAAGCAGACATATAAGCAACTAGAAAAAAAGAAGGGGGAAGGGAGGGAAAGCTGTGCAGGCCTGGGGAAAAGATCTTCAGCAAGGAAAAAAAGAAAATAAAATAGTTGTTTCTTATATGCAGGCAGCGCAACAGACCCAGTCCTGTCACAGTTACACAGAAACTGTTCCAACTGACTGTTCAGAAGTAGGGAACTGTCAGTTCAAAGCATTGCTAGTCTGAGGTGTAATTGCATAATGAATCAAACACAACCCAAAATGCCATGTAACAACCCCCACAAAAAATCTCTTGTATTTTGGAACAAGCAATAGGTGCTACATGCCCTGTATTAAAAATCTGAGTAGCACCTGCAACCTGGCTGCTCAGTTACCACAGATGCCTAGTTTTGTACCTCAGCGGTCAGGGATGACAGGCATAGTTATTTGACAGATGCTGACTGCCTGAAAGAGCAGAGGCCTTCAGGCAAACAGGTCCTTTTCTCCCTGTATAGGAGGCTGCCTCTCTGTCTAGCATTCAGCATTAATGCAGCAACTTCTCAGTTGTAGCCAGAGTGAGGGCAGGACAAAAGGAAATATCCTCAATGATATTGTCTCAGTATATTCTTAAACAAATGAATTACTTGGGATCAGTATAATTTTGGGGGTCATCTCTTGCTCCAATTGCAGACAGGATGCCTCAGCCATTACTGTAAATAAAAGTTGGAAGGCAAGAACTCTGGAGGGATCCTGAAGAGGGTTGCCAGTACACATTTACATTATCTCAATCACACAGCTGCAAATGCAGACCATCCAGTAAACTTAACAAAATTACAGTTTTGTACTAACTGCTATTCTGGTGCTGCAGTTATATAACTGTTTTTTTCCTAGCATCCAAAAAAGGGAGTTTGGGTTATAATATACTTTTCCATCTACATATCAAAAGTCTTACAGCAAGTATCACAAAGTCCAGTTTGGCTCTGAAAAGTTACCGTAAATATAGTTTTTATTTTTTGTTTGTGTTTTTGTGGGAGTGTACAGAATTGTAAAGCATTAAGCCACAACATCTCTTAACCTTGTATTTTCTAAACTCAGTCTAGACCTGTGTATGCAGTCTGGTTTCTGACTACCTGCTGCACACCTACCTAGAAAAAGAATACTTCGTCCTTCCCCAGTCTAAACATTAGATCCTAAGGAATACAGAAGCCTAAGAAACATTAGTGATTCACAATCCCCACCACCTTCATACTTTTACTTCTAGACCTCTTTTGGATCTGCAATATTAACAGAGTAGAAAACCCTGTCAAGAACCCTGTCAAGAAACCTATTCACCCATTAGTAAGACAGGGAATTAGTGCCAAGATATATTTCCAAGAATTGCTGTCATACTGTGCTAACATATACCACATATTTCAATCACTGAAATGACTGAAGTGCACTAAGCAACAGGCCTGTGCAGTGAGCAGCTCTTCTGTGCAGGTTGAAACTTTTCTATGCATATTTCAGTATAAGTTTTACTATGTTTTGTGTTTGCTTACAGCAGTCATAAGATCTTTTCTAAGAGCATCTCAGACCATAGGCTCAACTGGACTTTATGTATAAATTATACACCTGTCCAGCCTCTTGCACCTGTATAATGTTGCGGCTTGGTTGATTTTAATGAGCAGCATTGCCTGAAGATTGGTGGTACCACTTTGCCTATATTATCAATGTGCCTTCCTTATCACTCTACCAGCAACAGTCCTCAGAGCGGACCAGATGCCGAAATCGTAGGAGAGACAAAAACACCCGAAGAATTTCCAATCCACCTCAGCAGCAGTGAAGAAAGCACTGGCAGCTGGTCCCAGCTAGCTAACGATGAGGACAATCCTGACGACACAAGCAGCTACTTACAACTCAGCGAGCGATCCCTGAGGTACCCATATTGTCTGTTCTCAGTATAAAATATGAGCTAATCAACCAGACCAATGATCTGGCTACCACATATCAGGAATGAGGTTCAACAGCTTCAGATTTATTCAGAATACTGTAAAGAAAACCTAATAACTGAGTTCATCTCCTTAATTGAAAAAAAAAAAAAGAGAAAAAATTAGCCACATTCTGGTTCTCAGCAAGATTTTTTTTTTAGTGTAAGCAGCTAGATTCAGACAAAGAGAAAATTTCCTGGCACCATTCCGGTGCCTCAGTCCTACAGTGAAAGGGCCATTGGACAAGCTAATTGTTGCATTCTTTCCTTTGATGTATTTGCTATTTGCATAATGTTTATTTTGTCATTTCCTTAGCTGAGATTGGTGATACTAATATTCCCACCAGTTATCTGTACACCAAGAAGAGAAGAGATAAAGCCTTGATATGCTTAGAATGGCACAGGGAAGCAGATTAACAGAGGATGACAGAGCTCTCCTTGGGTAGGCATAAATTCCAGAGCTCCCATCACAGTATGCTGCTTTTTGTTCCTATTCAAGTCAGGACATGCATTTACAAATGTTATATAGTCCTTAGAGCTTGTATGAAGTGATGTTAGTTTGACTTCAGCCCTTTCATGACTTCAGATTGAGCAAGTTTTTTCTTAACATGCTCTTAGATTAGGCTTTAAAATACTGTAAAGTATTTACATCTTTCTCTTGTGCATCAAAATGACAAGGAAGGAAGTCACTATAATAATGAGCAAAGGAAAGAAAGAGTCTCTGTCAGAGAGCACTGTTGGATAGCTGAAAAAATAGTGAGCAAAACCTGTCAGTTTGGGTGAACATTCATGCCATCATTATAGTATCAACCTTTAACAAAGTTCTTGGTCTGAGAGAGCTAATGCATTGCGCCTCTTGGTTCTGCACTTAAACAGAAATTGCTACAGCAAGTCTGAATGCATGGCATTCTGACACTGACTAAGAAAAACCTGATGGGGAAAAGAGCTAATCAATCTTTCTAATGTAAGGAAAGAAGACTATTAGTTGGTTTTTTTGATAAAAATTAAGCGGTTCATGTTCACTTGCTCACAGAACTGGTTTGTGCTAATTCACTTGCAACCAGCAAATTCACAACCTGCCCATAAGACTAACACAATAGCTGCATAAACATTCACTATCAATTTTATAATGATGTTATAAAGTGAATTGGGACTACTTTTTCCAAATATTCTCAGATGTCATAATTCATCCTTATGAAAAAGCCAAGGAGAATACTTCTTCTTGTTACTGGTCCCAGTGGGCACTGGCTATAATGAAAATCTGTCTTTCAGAGTAGTCAGAAACAAAAAGGGCTGTCACTGTACCTGTGGGTTCCATCAGATCCCCGATAGAATTTGAGGTATGATATAATACACTGAAACTGTTGCTGGTTACAGGCATGGAGTCACCCAACAGGTAAGTAGTATGATGGGAAATCAAATGCCTTGCTATAATTCACCATGTTCAGAGGTATCTCAATCTCTGCAGGTTTTTCCAGGGCATCTCCATACCTGGTAATTCCTTTCAAGGACTCACACAGACTGCTTTTTTGTTTGAGGCCAAACGTTCATTGCATAAGGCATTCACAAGAAGATAGTCCACTTTTTTTATTTCCTCCAGTTTAAAGCATCACTTGATACGTGCTCTATCTAGAACTATTTTTATAAAAGCCTCATTATTTTGAGCAGATTAGTGTGCTTCATTCTGGGAACCACTTGCTGAGTGGAATGGATTTTGTGGAACTCTGCATAACAGAGGGCACCTCTTCACTTTGCTTTGTACATAAGTAAATTACAAAAAGGACGTATGGGAACATATTCAGTGCAGCTTGGCACTAATATCTAAACTTTTGCTTTGTCAGCAATGGTAACAGCAGTACTACTAGCAGTCTTGGCATTATGGACCTGGAAATTTATCAGGAGAACGTGCCATCTTCTCCTACGATTAAGTAAGTAGTCACTGAAGTGAGATTTGATGTTTAGTCCAACTTTAACTGCAAATCATTTACACCACCTAAAATGTGCCAAGCCCTGCTTTGCACCTGCTGCTGAGCCTGCTGGTAGCTTCAGAAAAAGCACCTGAAGGTTTCTGTGCAGAGTGGTAACACTAGAGAGTGAAAGATTACCCAGGAAAGTTCACCCAGGCAGATCTCTCAAAAGAGCATGGATCCACCAACTGCTCCAACTAAAATACAGTTTTCTGTGGTGTGGATTTCTCATTGTATTAACTTTCTTCTCCCAGTAACTTCAAATATTATCAAAACTACTGTAACAGCAAGCAAGGTCAAGCAAATAAGAATCTGTTAAAATAAAAGGAAAAATATCCGATAACATTCTTTCAAGTAACAATAATAATTTGGCTCAAAGTACATCTTACCTATTGTTTCTGGGCATGTTTCTACTTAGCATGCAATTAACTTATCAAGAGATGTGTAAGTACCTACTTAAAAGGTTCTGGCACCCTGAAACCTGGTATAACTTGCCAGCTGGTGAATGTCACAACGTAGTCAGGGCATGGTCATTGCAGAAGTGTAGAGACCATATATCAAACATTGAATATGGGATCTTTGTGAAGTCAGTGACATCAGAAAATCTTCACAGCTTGCTACCAGATTGTGCTACAAATGCCCTGCTTTTTCTGTAAAACGCTCTTTCTTTTTGCAAGAAATCTGGGCTTTCGTATTTCTGTAGTTATGTTCATTCTCTCTCAGCGGCCGATTTGTAGAATAACCTTGTTAAAACATTCCAAACTTTACAGTAGAAAGTGATACCTCCTGCACACATTCCTAAAGGTGACCCTTTTCCCTAAAATTTCTGAAGAGCAAAGGGATACATTTTTGAGTCCCCTCGTTAGCTTTCAGGGGCTATTCTCAGCTGTAAGTTGATAGGCATGAGAAGCTTGTACTTCCACAAATAAATCAAAAAACAAAAGCACAGAATGCATCTGCTGTTCAAACAGAAAACTGAAAAAACCCTGACGGGAAGGAAGTCATTAAGCACCTATGATTCTAAGTCATGACAAACCATACTGCCATTTTATTCTGTCCCCTCACACCTTGCAGTAACCACTACATGAGAATATACAATCTTGATTCTTTGAAGCCTTGGGGGAGATTCTGAAATCTTCTGAATGAGGGTGGCAAAGAAGTTGATAAAGAGTAATGTCCTATGCTAGAAACAAAATCTTATACCTGCAGTGTTCCCCCTAATTGAGGGCAGGATGGGACAGTCTGGAAATGTGTACTGCAAATGCTGTCCCTCCACAAACGATGAAACAACTGCAAGAGCCGTGACAGCAATAGTGAATTTGAAGTCCCTTGCCATATATATATAAGCATGGATATTGTATTCAGAAATGGAAGCTGAAGCAGTGACCACATGCCTGGAGTTTGTTTCCTGCAGTTTAGGAAAGAGATGGTACACAAGAAATTAAGAACTTTGGAAATTTTTACAAGGTGTAAACAGAATTTGTTTATCCAAACAGCAAATACATTTAAAAACAGCGTAGTTGAGGTAATTGATAGTTATGATTGTGTTTAATTATGAAAGATAAAAGTAGAAAGCAAAGCTAGAGAGGATTCAGCCACAGAGTATAGCACTGCAAAATGTAGACATTGGAATTTCAGTATTTCCACCCAGGTTGTGAGATCTGCTGCGTCTTACCATAATGTCATCTACTTGCATTATGAATAATGTAAAGATCTGCAAATCTTGCTGAAACATAATACACAGCACAACCATTACAAGAACTCTATTCTATTACAGTAAGAATGATGCAATTCCCATAGCTTTTCCTAATTTACAGATAAAAATAAATTAGATACATTCAGCATTTCATTATTCCATCCTATGTAACTTTTTTCTTGCAGTTTTCTAGGTTTTACATTGAGGGAGAAGTTTATCCATCATGAAGCAATCTTGTAGACTGTTCCAAAATATCACTAATAAGCTTTGTTGTTGTTTGTTTCTAAGTGAATTAATAGAAGAAAAGGGTTTCCTTAAAGAACAGACAGAAAATACAGAGGGTAAGTTGAACTGTATCGATTGAAGTATACAGTCTGAAGTTAACATGAGTAATTGCACAGTAACTGCTGGGATTATTTTTCCAGAAAGTACTTCTGGGCTTTCAGTGGGAACAGCTAATTGTCAAAAGGACCTACTGGTGATAAATTTTGATCTGGAACCAGAGTGCCCCGATGCAGAGCTGCGAGCCACCCTGCAGTGGATAGCTGCTTCTGAACTTGGAATTCCAACCATCTATTTTAAGAAATCTCAGGAGAACAGAATTGAAAAGGTAGTATTTACAGAATTGGGCATACTATTAATTTATTTTAATCACAATAGTTACTATGAGTTCTTGAAGTTCGTGAGTTTAATGGGAGATGCAAAAACATCTTCATTACAGCAAGATTGCAATGATATTGTCTATTACAGAAAGAGAAGAACGGATTAAATGTGTCAGAATTGAAGGTATGTGAACTAGTAGATTGTCTATGGCACAAGAAACAGTAGCACCATGAGACCTTCTCCAAAGGCTCTCTAACATGCCTTGATGAATCTGTTCACTTTTTCAATGATGTGTTATCAACATCCAAGTCAGAATTAACAGAGAGCCTTTTATGTGGCTGCACTTGAAGAGTTGCAGATGGCTTACGCAGAGTTTGAGCATGTAGCTTAAAAATCACTTGCGTTTGGGCAAGGTTCTGCCTTGCCTGCAACGCGGATTAGGGCAGCCTCAGGCAGGTCTGAACTTGGGCCTGGCAGTCCTTAGATTGTTACAGCAGGGCATCACAGGGGCCTGTGGCCAAAAGCACTGGCTTTATAGTCACTTTGTGCTCATAGAAAAGGATTGCTTGTCACCAGAGAATGGACCCACTGCCCAAATGTACAGAAGACTTAACTGCAAAATACAGAAAGCTAACTTCTATTAGCTCAGGTCCACTGTCTAAAAGTAACAAGATTATGAGGCTTCTGCATCAGAGCTGATGGAAAGTTCAGAGGATAGGTAGGATGGACCTAGCTGTCTAGGCATACCCTTGTAGTATCCACTACCCTGAGAGACAGTTTTAGCTCAGGCAGTGACCAACCAGTGTTTCCAGCAGAGCTGTATTTGCAATCACATCTGTTACTTGGAAAATTGGGCTGGAAATTAAAATATTTTGCCTCACTGTATGAAAACTATGAAGCACCTCCCCTGGCTTAACAATAAAGTATTATGTGTGTCAGTATCCGTTTGCTCCTGCTCATGTGTAGCTCAGCCTCTGACATTTTAAAAGCAGACGTCTGATTCCAGAGAGAGGCAGACAGACACTGACTACTAGAACCAAGAAATCTCTGAGGTATTAGTCCAAGCCAGAGCAACAAGAGCAACACTGAAGTCCAAAATGGCAGTAAGAAGTGCAGACTGTTCCTATTCCTGAATGATTCATTAAGTGCTCCATTGTGGATAACCCCAAATGACACCCACAGTATTTCAGGAATAACCAGAACAGTCAGTAAGAACAGCTCAAGCTTTGGCCTTTCAAAAAGTGCTCTAGAATTCCAATCAATTAATAAAAAAAATTAAAAAAAAGTATTACAAATCACTATTTTGGTCTTTTATGGGAATATCATTTTGAGTACCAGGATATTGTTTGATTTTCTTGAGTACATGCATTTGGGAATCATAAACATAATTTAAAATGCATTCAGCAGCAACAGTCCAAATTGCATCTAATTAAAGAAACAGCTGTCAGCTTTACCCATGTGCTTTGGCAAACAGCTAATTCAATTGCAAAGATACACTAGAGAATAATGAAGCACATCCTGCCTACAACAGTGCTTTTGGAAATCACGTGCCTATTAAATATCATTAAAATACATATTAAAAGTTTAAGCTTCAGTATGTAAATAGCAAACAGCTACACTAACTAGAGACAATATTTTCTTGTGCAGTTTAAAACTGGAGTCATAGAAGGAACAAGCTAATTAGATATTGACTGAATTTCAAAGAAATTAAAAGCTTTGATTTTCATTTATGTGCTTCAGAAAAAAATGGGACCAGATGTATGACACTGTGAAGTCCCTTCTTAAGTACGAAGTGGACAAAATTCAGGATTTTTTTGCAGCTGCATAAGAATATATATTTAATCTCCGATTGACCTGAAAGTTAAAAATCAAATACAGACACTTTCTGCAATTCAACCACAATTGTAGCAAATATCTTCTTGTGACAGAAGTTTGCCCAGAATTTCCTCTCACCAGTACTATGTGAATATTTAATACACTATTGGATGGATATGTGGAAATCCAGGAAATTGAATAGAAATTAAAATTAGCAAATGGTAAAGAAGTGGGATTTTTTGTTTTTTTTTAATTCTTCAAACTGGATAGTCACACTTCCATTCTTTTCACAGTGAGTTGTTGGTAACAAGGAAAGTTATGATCCTTTACCAAGCTCACTTTCACTGCTCTTAATTTCATTGTGATAAATAAGAAATAATTGCTGAGAGCAGCTCATCTAGAAAACATCGAGTTGTGGCCAGTCTTTGGGGAGCTATGGAGCTTCAGCAATTAAATTTTATAAATAGAAAGAAACTGTATGTTGCTGTGTAATGAACCATGCCTACTCCTACTCACAGCAGTGCATTTTCAAAGGATGGTTTGTATGTATTAATTTCACAAAACATTAGCAAAGCATTAAGCAAATCCTGAGCGTGTTTTGTTTTGGTTTTTTATTAGTTTTCAGATGTTGTGCAATTAGTTCAACGGAAGTCCTGGAAAGTGGGGGATATCTTTCATGCCGTGGTGCAGTACTGCAAACTCAGTGAGGAAGGCCAAGTGGTGACACCAAGCTTGTTTGATTGGCTTCTTGAGCTGGGTTAAGAAAGCTCAACCTGTTCATCATTTTTGTTTTATTCCAGTTTAAATAAGCAGTGGTTTGTGTAACACTCCGATTTCTGAATGCCACTGAATAAAATGAGCAAAGATATACAAACTCTAGAGAAACAGCACATGGCTGTTCCAGAACTGAAGAAGCTAAGTGAAACCAAGGTGTATTGTATCTTTCTGTATCATGAGGGGCTTGTGATATATTGTGCTATAGGGTGTACTGTACCAGAAGGGGATGGATTTTTTTAGTCTTCTGTATTAATGGGCTATACAGTAAAGGCTTAATTAAATGTCTAATATGTTCCACTTTCATCAGTTGGTTTAAATCGATCAGCCAAAATGGGATAGTACACAAACATTCAGTTTTTAATTGTCAATATTTTTACAGCTTAACTATTAGAACCAGAGTGTGTTCCAAGATGCCTAGAGATGCACATATCCCTAGATAAATAATTTTTTTTTATCCCCGTAACCTAAGGGGTAAAAACTTTTGAACACTTGCCATTAGTCAACACAACAAAAAGCTGCTGAAAGCACATTTTAGTTTGTTTCCATGTGATTCTGTTCCATAACCATTCCCAATTCCTGTCTTCTTCTCAAGGAAATAAAATCTAGACTCTCAGTTACTACCCTTAAAAAACCTGTCTCCTTTTCACTTGGAGGCAGTGCAGTTCAGCATAGCTACGCATGGTATGTCCCTGAAAACAGCTCTGTGAGCCAAGGCAGCAGGTTTCTAAGCCCTGTCCTGCCACAGACCATGTCCTCACATGACCTTGGGCGAGTCATTTCACCTCTGTGCCTCAGTGTCTCTACCTGGTAAAAGGGCGTAACGATATTACGATTGTTACGTGAAGTGCTTCTATTTAAAGCACTATGTAACATGCTACGTATCAGTTAAAATCAGTGAAAAAAAATCCTATTTTAATTTTAATTTAACCAAATAAATTGTTACTAAGTTGAAAAAAAAAATTATGCATATTTGAATACAGTACCATCTCATAAAAATCTTACTGTTAATTTTTGTAACTTCCAAGAAAGCAAAATGATTGTTAGAATTTCATCAGACATACTTGTTCATTTTGGATATAAGTGTTTGGACTATATGTGTTAATACACATTAGTATAATATTTATATGACTGTTTGATAAAATAATCTATGGTATCGTCTTGTTGAGATGATCTGTTAGTATCATGCACTTAATGATGCATTCTCTTGATTCTGCCAAAGAGATTGGTTTTGAATTTAAAGGTAATTGTATTTATCACATCAGAGTTCTTCTATTATTTGTTTCTTTGAAAATATTTATCTTTCCTCTTGCTCTACCTAAATAGCATAATAGAAAACATGCCTGCTTTTCCCAATAAAATATTTAAGAGATGTTTTATTTTCCATATAACAGTATATGCTTCTGTAATATTTCTTGGGAAAATGGGAAAAAAACCCATCCTTTTGCACTAAATATTTTTGAAAATTTTAAAGTAGTTTAAAATAATTTATGAAAGAGCCATATTCTCAATTTTATCTTTAAAACCATTCCTAAACTTGCATGATTGCATCACTCATTATGAAACACATAATAGTTCGTGAATCAAAATCTAACGTGGAACATTAAACAACATGACTAATCTACGTCTATTCTGCAACATACACAAAACAGTGAAGGTTGCTTTACTGTGAAATAAAGGTCATTTTATTGCATACACTGAACACTACTGTGCAGTCACTGGGTAGTAATTCCCACTAACATGAGTGACAACTCTGAATGCTCAGCATTTCTGAGGCTGAAAGTTAATAAAAAGCACCAAGTATTATAAAGTGCTTTGAGTCAATAAAAGGGAAAGTGTATTTATTTTTAAACCAAATACAGTTAGTGTCAGTGTACAAGTTTTTTCTGTGATAGAATAAATGTTTACTTATCCTACAAAGCACAAATATAATGATGGAGTTGTAACAGTGTGATGCAGTTTCTCTGTACAGTAGTTGTTAATGTTGCAATTTATTCAGAAATAAATTTGTGTTATAACGTGTGTTCTCTTTGCCTTCCTAGAAAGTTCATCATGTACTATGGGGATTTTGACTTATTAAATAACATTTGCCTGCCATCCATGTAGCTTCTAAAAGCTCTGCTTCTGAATGAAAATCTTGACCCATGGCCCCGACCAAAAGAAGCCAGGGCAACTTCCAGGTCTTACCTCAGCATGAAAGCTATGGCTTTACTTAGGTTCCACAATTCATTCAAGAGATACGAGGCAAATCATAGTGTTCTAAATATCACAGTAGAATAAAAAGAAATTACGTGTTCATTGCTGTGAACTAACCCTCAAATAACTCCCAACACAGAAAAATCACTGCAAATGATTTCTCCAGCTGCTTTCAGTACCTGCAAAAGCAGGCAGGTGGGTCAGACACAGAAGTTCAGCAGTTTCTTCTGCTTGTTTAAATTTGTACAGGTATTTACTGCCTAGGTATAAGGGAATTTATTTCTACTTCTAAACAGAAAAGGAAACCAACACTTAGCTGAGTAAATCAGAGCATGACTTGTCCACCACTAAAACAGGCTGAAAAAAAAATGAAGCCAAAATTAAATACACATAAATAAGAACATCATATTACATACAGTTTTAGTTGAAAATCACAGAGCAAGTTATCTACAGTTCAGCCTCTCTGTACACATAAGCGTGATGCAGGTTGTTAATATCACCAGAGTGCAAAGGGAATGACTACTCAGTATCTTTCCCAATACAAACTAGGATCCAACAAATGGAACTCACACAAGCCAGATGCAAAGCAAATAAAAAGGGTTGACACAGATGAGAGGTTGCAATACTTGTGCTTAAGTTCAAGTTGGAGCTTATAGCTACTTGGAAAAGATGCACCACAATTTACTAAAGAACACAAACCCCATGCCCCTCATGAGACATCCTGGCCATCAGAGACCACCGTGGGAACAGCAGAGATGCTTGCCTCATCACCTAACTCAGCGAGACCTGCCCCACTCCTCACCCTGCAAGTTGGTTTCAGGACAAGGTGCCTTCCACCCTGGAGCTGACTTTGCTACACACCTAATGAAGAGCAGAATTTGGCTTGCAGACACATTAATTCAAACTAAGGAGAAATTACCCATTGAAAAATCAGTATTTTAAAACTTCATTTTTAGTTTGGCTTTGTTCAGGGTGCTTTTAATGGTGGGATCACTAGAAGCTGAAAAACTATAACCTGCTTCAATTTTGTCATTCCACCAAAGACTTTCATAGTGTCTTTAAGGAAATTAACCATTTTATTGGTGTCTATGATTAAAATGGTCACTTGTTTACAGGCCATCCTATCAAATTCAGCAGGTAACTTCTGGAGAGGCCAATTTTACTATTTCTCCAGTTTCATGCAGAGCTACGTGGCAGACAAGCATAGGAATGTCACCATGAACCCTGAACTCGTACTTTCAAAACATTGAGGGAATACAAACCCAACCAAAACCAACAACAGCAAAAAAACCCAAGCAAAAAAAACAAACATCGAAATATAGAGCCCACATGATCTACTTAATAAGCAAAAGAAATTTCAACTGAGAAAAAAGCACATCCATACTAGCCAATTTAATAATTTTAATTCAAGGCAGAACCATTCCTAAGTGAAGGTTAAAGCAAACTCATAATGCTACTATTTCAGTTTTTCAGATCCACTCATCACATCAAACAGGCTCTCAGAAAACAACTAACAGCTGTACAGCATTCCTCAGGACAGACAGTTGAATTAGGCAGCTGGACTATCAAACTAATTAAAACAATTTGCCATGAAGACAGATCTGGCTGATGGATACTCCTCCCAGCATCCGCTGAAATTCAGACAGTAAAGTGCAGCAAACTGGAAAATATAACCAAGCTATATAATGGTGGACAACAAATATAATCAAGGACGTATTTCATATCCTCTCACTAACTACCCAGGAACTGCAAATTATAACAACAGAAGGAAGCAAAAGAGAGATTCTCACAAGATGCCACTTTTAAAACATGTATGAGTATTATCCTCATTTATTCAGAAAAGAACATGAATCTCAGGAGATACAAGTATACATCAACAGTCCAACACATTGTATGCTTACATGGAAATCTGTCCTTGTGATGTTACATGATACAGGCTAAGGGCTTTCTTTCCCAGAAAAACACACTCACATATTTATAGGGGTATATGATGGAAGGATGAAGAGGTCTAAAGAACAGAAACAATACATTAAATGATTTCTACAGTCACTCCTTACTAAAGCACATTTCAGGAGTCTCCAGAGGTCATCCTTTTCAATGAGGTCACAGTGGATCCAGTTTGCCAGCATTTCAGGATAATGTTGAAAGCCACATCCCAATCCAAACACCCAACAATTAAAGTAGCCTCTTGGAGAGTGTAAGGTATGTAGAAGGCATATGTTTTTATAAGATTAAAAGGGCACCACAGACAATACAGTTAAAGCATGCACATACACTAGTTTAATAGTGCAGACTGAAGTGGAACTAGAGAAGAGGATCAAACTGCTACCAGAGGCAAAGAATGGTTTCAAGATGATATATCTATACAATGCACTCCCAATGTATACCTCTATAATATAGTAAAACTTCATATGAGTAAACCAAGGTGCAGAAAGCCTAACATCAAAGCATTCATATGATGGTGCATAGATTACTACTGAAGTTCTTATGAGGTGCCAAGCCAGAACACTTCTCAGCAGTGCCATGAGCCATGAATCACACCAGATGTGAAAGTATTTCATATCTGAGCAGGAAACCTGGATAACTCAGCCCAAAAAGCAATTTTCCTCAGTGCATCCAGGGAGATGCAGAAATAGAACCCATATGGCCTCCCAGTACAACGCTTAGTCTTTGAAACCTCAAGTCACTCACAATTTCATATAAAAATAGGACAAGAGCTCAAGGCCAAAATCTACTTCAGATGTTTGATTCCTGGGTCACTAGCATAGTATGAGAGAAAAAGCATAAAGGAAAAGACAAAAGAAAATATTCTAGCCTGAAATATTGAGAAAAAAAATAAAAATCAAACCTCTACTTTCTAATCACAGTCCAGATATTATTTTTTTTACTTTTTGATGGTCACACAAGAAGTCAAGTTTTAGTTTTTAACTATGTAGCAGTATTTGTACACATTTCATTACACATTTTCCTCCACCTGTAAGCACAGGTGCAAACTGATCCAGGGACACTGGGCAATTTTCAAGCAATAGAGAACTGCCTTGCCCTTCTTGCCTCTTTCAGTTTGGGATTACTAATACAATTCTGATATCCTAAATCTTTGCACAAGACATCAGGAAACACCACAAGCATTACGGTACCATTAATATCAGCCACTTTGCCTACTGGTGAAGGTTTAATTTTAAATGATCTGCAGCACACTGCTTAGTTCTCCCCCAACATGTCACTGCTTGAAACAACCAGGATATTTGCCAAGTGGTGACAGGCACATTTGTTTCTTCATTTTCACACAAGGATGCTGGCAAGCATAAGCACTCAGAGATAGTCAGAACACATCAGCGTTAGTAACTTCCTATTAAATGTAACATCTAGAAGTCAAGTCCATAACCACCCAGAGATACACAACATAAAGTGCTGCACACTTTGCTTCTTCCCTTTTTCTCTCGATCGACACACATGCTTTTTTGATCCTACCTTCTTTTCCTCTTCATCCTTGTTCCAAGACTGCTGGAAGCCACTGGTCAGCTCTGCTCCTTTGCTAGGCCCCTGCAAAGACCAGGTGCAGTTTCAGGTGCTCTGTTAGGAAGTGGGGAGAGCTCTATACAGGTGAGACCTGTTGGCAATTGCTGGCAAGAGGTCAGCCTAGGTGAGAGCTCATTGTATGGTGGTAAATAGATTACAGAAATGCCTCATATGCTTCTCAGATTATGTCATGATCCTTGGGTCCAAATCTTTGGTGCATAGAGTTTTTCATGTTGTCCATAATCTTTGGGCTGGGATTCAGGGTTGGAGTCACAACCCTATTACTTTTTTTTACCTCAGGTGCAAATGGGACAATGAAGGCTGAGCAGAAAAGAATGGAATGAATGGAAAGATGTGCCCAAGTGTGAAGGAAGGGGTGAGTGGGAGTTTAACGACAGCATGCATGCAATAGTTAATAGCAATGCAAACCACAAATGGTTACTGGTTTTCTCTGGAAATACTGAGAGGGACATTGCATTACAAGAAGCAAAAGTAGCATTTTTACTCAATTATTTACTACATAACAAAAAAATCCCACTAAGAACCCAAAAGCACTCAGAGCAAGTGCATAACAACACCCCTTTCACAAGTGAGAGTATTTATGTTTCACATGTGATGTATTTTATTTTATTAAAAGGGGTACAAGTTAAAAATTACACACAAAATATGGGGCCATCCTACTGAGTTCATTAACACTAATCATTTCTCTGAGGTGACTGAGGTAACCAAGCCACTCTTCTTGGCAGTAGGTAATAAAAAGGCAACATGCACAAACTGAAATACAAGAAAACATTCAATTTTACCTTAAAATAAAATAGATCTGAAAGACTGAGTTTGTTGACTATGAAACTCACAAAGTAGGCATATACCAAACTGGATCTTTCATTCACTTCAGTCAGGCTCATATTCTGCAGGAGTTATCTTTGCTCCCTAGTAATAAAAGCAAATTGTGAAGGAATCATATAGGTGTATCATAAAATTATCCATTTTTGTTAATACCTACATCAACATACTACACAGAATGCCAAGGAACCAGGGAAATATTTTTCTGTCCATGACTAGCAAGAGACACCAGGACCTACAGCAATTTATTTATCTGAGGTCATCCTGCAGCCCATATTTCGGTAGTTCCATCAAAAGCTCAAAGAAATCACAAATATTCTGTACCATTCTTTCCCTACTCCCACAGCTTTGTGTCTGAAATGAAGGAAACCTGAACAGAGTTTGGTGCCAAATACACAAAAGGTGTGCTCCCTTAAAAAACTTCGCCTTTTGCTCATCTAAACTTCCTTCACTTCAATGCATTG